ACGAAATAACCCTACTTTAATTTTATTTTTTGAATGTATACTTGGTTACCAAACTATATGAATACTCTAAGGCATAATGTGTAGTGAGTAGAAATAATCATTTTTTAAGTCTCTTATGTCATTTCTTTGAATTGTGGATTTTTTTTTAAAGAAAAAGCAGTTTTATTCGCATAAATAAAAGAGTCTTGGTGGAAGGAATAAGTCTCCAACTCACCAGAAAAGAAATGCAGTAAATAAATAAATACAGACTAAGACAGCAGAATAAATATAACAGTGAAGAAGGCCGGCTGCCAAAGTCAAAGGACCAGGTAGCAGAAATGATAAGACGCGAAAGCAGTGCCGACTACCCAGTACAGCCTCCTAGGAAAGTGGATCAGCCCAAGAACCGCTCCTTAATCACGGTATCATTACATATTATTGCATTGGATCTTGTAATAGTCATTTCAATTACACAAAATAGGGCCAGAAAAATATTGACAATTAGGTAAAAGTACGGGGCAATCTTGATTCTTGGCTAGATTCCATTTTTGCAATTTGTCTAATTAGGGGTATTGATTTGCAATTCAATCAATAAGGGGTGCTGAAAGATGAAATATGATCTCACAATCTAACCAGCAATCCTAATAACCTTGGAAAGAATAAGCAATCAAAATATCAGCCCTCTTTGTTTAACTAAAAGCTAGACGCGGAATAATAGATGCAGATATGAAAGACGAAAGAATTGTAAAGCAACACAAAGAAAGAGTGCAGATATAAATCCCGCAATGATTGATTAAAAGGCTAAGGTGCAGTAGGGCTTTAACTTAGTTGAGAATGATCGGATGATATTTTTTCCTCAAAATTCTTGAAATAGGAAACTAATCAGATTGGATTTATATATTTCTGAAGAGTGAACAACAAAGGCATAAGAAGCGGTTGTTTTTGGTGCTGCCTGCTCTTCACAATTTAAATACAATAGTTTTAAGAAAAGGTCATAAAGAAGAAGATAATACCTGATGGGTTAGGCGGAGTTGCTCGATAGATGCACCATGACTGGTGAACGGGCGCAAACTTGTCAAAATGCGTCCAAAATTGAATCTGGAATGTTTCTTCTTTGTACTGGTGCACAATGGGTTTGGCTAATTCTGAGGGTCAACCGATGGGTTCCGGAAGCTGCTCACCGGAATCGATGCTTGACGGGCCGGTTTCTTGAACTTCTCCGGTCGCATAGGGGAACAGGCGCCGGTTAAAGCATATGAAATGGCTTTTTTGGGTGGCGTCTGATTTTCAAGGCCGAATGTGAAACGCTCTTGTAAACAATAAATCCACCTCAATGGCATGTCACCTCCATCTCACCTTCTACGTGTCACCCTCACAACGAAATAACCCTACTTTAATTTTATTTTTTGAATGTATACTTGGTGACCAAACTATATGAATACTCTAAGGCATAATGTGTAGTGAGTAGAAATAATCATTTTTTAAGTCTCTTATGTCATTTCTTTGAATTGTGGATTTCAGATAGATAATAGTGTTTTAGGGTACATTTTTAAAACCATTCTTTTTTTAATAAAGAAAGGTAGAAGCGTAGAGGAGTTAACGATCCACCCGATGTTTGTTAAGGGAAAAACCCGATGTCTTTTAGAGGAAAGGGGAAAAAGTAAAAGGAAAAAAATTTGAACACTATAACGAAGTCCTTGGTTTGAACGACATTGGAACATGACAGAGGATGCTAAAATATGTAACCCTTTTATTCCTTGATAGAGTAAAGTTTCAGAGATTATAGTGAAAAAATAAATTCAAAACAACTACCATTTGAATTGCTGATGGTATAATCCAAATTTCAAATAATATCATAAAAATTCAGAAAGTGTATTTTGAAATAATGGTAAGGGTGAAAAGTATTTTCAACATAGTCCTTAAGAAATCTTGATAGTATTTAGAACCACAACAAAAAACAAGAAAGTAAAACACAATTGCCTTAACTCAAAACACGACCAAGAGTCTGACCTAAAAATTAAAATCCAACGGATTGTACCCGCAAACCTAACGCAAATTTGATTGTCAAACACTAAAGTTAAAAGTCAACCTAGAACCTAACCCAAAACCAAACCCAAAATCAGGTCCAATCCCCAAAGTAAGAAACAAAATCCCTACCCAGAACCTAACCCAACAACCAATTGCAGGGGTGCATTAAGCTATTCCCATGTTTAAAAATTGTGAATAAGTACAAAA